AAAAAAAAAAAAAAAAAGGACAGCCACTTGGCCCAAACCTCACACAGTGCAGAAAGACACCAGTGAGCACCTGAACAGTCTTAACAGGTCTATGGAGTTGAGGTGCTTGCCAAGGCCAAGAAGCTGTGGTGGCAACTGAAGTGGCTGCATGTGACCCAGGCACACCTTGGAGGGGCAACTCATGTTACTTAAACTGTCACTCCGTCTAGAGGAAGGGGGGAGCCACAGGATCCCAGCAAGGTCTCCTGGCCCAGATCTCAGAGCCTCCAAGGCCAGAGTGCTGCTCCTTCCTAAGGCTCATTGCCTTGACAACTCCACTTTGCAGCTGCCAGAGTAATTCTAAAACCTTCTCCTAGAATGCTGATAGGCATTCTGCTGACTCAAAGCTACTGTGTGGAAATCAAAGACCAGAGGTTTCCGGGTTCAGGAGAGATGTGGAAGGGCCGAGGTGAGATTATAAAAGGTAACCAGATGAATGCTTATGAAGGTATTGTTTTGCACTTGGATTTGGTAGTGGACATGTGAACACAGACATGTGATAAAATCATATAGAAATGAATACACACAAAACCAGTGGACTGTATTGGTGTAAACATCCTGGTCGTAACACTGTACTACAGTCTAACAAAGTGTTCCCACTGGAGGTGGCTGGGCAAAAATTGCATGAAATCACTGAATTATCCCTTACAACTGCATATGAATCTACAATTACCTCAATAAAAATTCCACTTAATTGAGTGTGGTGGCACATACCTGCAACTCCACCACTTGGGAGAATGAGGCAAGAGTATCATGAGTTCAAGGCTAGCCTGAGCTACATAGTGAGTTCCAGGCCAGCTTGGTCTACATAGAGAGACTCTATCTCAAAATAAATAAATAAATAAATAAATAAATAAATAAATTCTAATTAAAAAGAACAGAAGTCCTGGCCCAGAGACCCAAGCCCTAGCTCTCCCATCTCTTCAGGCCATCCTTCCAGCTTCCAGCTGCCTGCACATAGACCTGAGGTGCCACAGTGGCACATTCTGAGAGTGGGCCTTCCCCTGTGCTGCTGTTTGAAAATGGTCTTCTGTTGAGACTTCCATGTCCCTAGAAGTTAAAACGGTACAACTTCACTCAGCAACTTGACTTTTCTCATACGTTTCTAAGCACAGCTGAGCTGAATGGAACAGCAACTCAAGGGGACAGGGACTCCACCAGGTTATAAAAGCAGCCCTGCTTTCCTGAGGCTCAGTGAACAGGAGTTGCAACGGCTTCAGAAAACCAGAGAAGTCCCAGCCTGTGGTCACAGACAAGCAAGCAGAAAGGCAGAGGCTGAAATGAGAACTGTCTGAGGAAACCTCCAGGGTAGAACAGGGGACAACAGCTGACCCATCACTGAATGTGGAGTCAGGAGCCCCAGTTCCTAGCTTCCTACAGCCCTTCTCCTCCTCACATGCTTAGGCACATTGGGGGGACGCACTTTCAGGTTATGGAACAAAGGATCCTGTTCAAGCCTCTGGACACAGTCACCAGCTCCCCAGTATGCACATACCTTGTGTGGATGCTGGAAGGAGACCTGGAAGCGCAGAACTCTCAGCATGAGGAGCTCACACTGCACGATGCTGTCTCGGAGCTCCCAGAAGCGTGAGTCCAGCTCCAAGGGCTCGCTGCTCGGGTTAAAGTACCTGCACAGAGGGACCGTGCTGCTTACCACAGCCCCAAACAACGGGCAGCTCCAATGAGCCAAGCCCTTAAGACACACAATGTCCAAATACAAACTACAGTGTCTTGCAATAGATTAATAGGTCATTTTATTTATGTTCTATAAAATAATTCATCTACATGTGTAGTGTACACAATGGAAAACTATGACAGAACAAAGAAGCTGGCTCCTAGTTTTAATCCAATGGGCCATCCAGTATCATTCAGCAAGATTTCAAGCACAAAGTTTGGCTCTCTGCAATAGCTCCAGAAGAACGGGAAGCTTTAGCACACCGAGTCAGTTGTGCTTCCTGTCACAGGCAGCATGGCATTGGGAGGGTCTTCATCACCTGAGGTGCAACACCCAAGGCTCTCACTCTGAGCCCAAGGAACGTATATAGAGCCTGGGAATGTGTATTCTGAAAGACGAATGTTTTCCAGTTTTATATTTCTTGTATTGTCTTTCCTTCCTTCTAGATCTTTCTGTCCTTATTTACACTCTGTATGTCTACAACGTCCCCACCTATGAAAGCTCCCCAAGATGTATATGAACAGGGTTCACACTCAAGTGCTCAGAACTACCTGCCATGACTCATCCTTCCTAGCTGCTCACTCATTTTCCACATTCCCTGCAGAACCCCCTAGCCTGTGCCCACGTCTAATTAGGGCTCCACACAATTTCCCCTTCTGCTGCTCCTCCCTGCCGGGGGCCAGGCAATTACAGGTGGACTCCAGCTGCCATCCCTCGGCTCTGTGCCTGTTTTTATCTTAATCTCTCCCTGGATACTGTGAACCTGTCAAGCTCAGGGGGTGGGGGGTGCTTTTTCTGCTACTTGTTTATTAAAGAAAGAAGAAGAACAAGGTAGTTTTCTTCCTAATGATTAGAGTTCCTGGAAATGCCCATGACACACAGCTAGTTAGTAACTTTCCGTAAATCTCAAGACCTGTGTCCTGGGCCCCAGGTCTTGGCACAACCTGCCAAGTGGCTGAGCCCCTGCCTCTTTCCCTAACAGGAACACAACTGCTTAGTTCAGCTGTGCTGACCACCACCCATAGTAGGGGCAAGACAGGCTTCATAGGCTACTGGAGTCAGTTTCTTGCACCACCTAAATATGATTACTATCTAGCTAGCTCCACATTCTCTGTGGGCCACACAGGTCTGCCAGGCTTCACAATCCAGAGGAGGAGGAGAAGCAGGAGGAGGAAAGGGGGAGGAGGAGAAGGGGAGGGAGGAGGAGAAGGGGAGGGAGGAGGAGAAGGAGAGGGAGGAGGAGGAGGTTTTTCTCCCATGCTGTTTTGCCTCCAGCCATTACTGGTTCCCTGTCCAGGACTCCACACAACTCTTCTCTGACATACCTGCCCAAGCTAACCTCTGCTCAAGCCCCAGCTCCACCCTGAGTGGCCTTCAAGGCTTCATGTAGTATGGCCAAGCTTCCCTACCACAGAGCCTCATGGGCACCTGACTCCAGGCTCCTTCCTGCCTTTGCAGCTGAAGCTTTAGGGCTTGGGTCAAGGTCATGCAGCTGCTTCCTTCCAAGTTTGACTGCTGGTGCCTGGATGGCAGAGCCCAGGGATACCTTTTCTGCCCTCCCCACCAGGGTGGACAGCGGGACACCCTCCTACACACCTCAGCCAGAATATCAGTGTACCTGTTGGACACATTGATGATGTCACGAGTACGCAGGTGTTGCTCCTCCACTTTGCCGGCCAAGTAAATGGAAGACATGGCAACCAGGTAAGGATCATAGGCGTCCAGGTTGATCTCACAGAAGAACTTATGGTATATGGTACAAGCAGTGGCAATGGGAATGGACCGCATCCCTAGCTTGACACCTACAGAGAGAAGGCAGGCAGGAGGGTCCTTCAGTTCAGCACTTGCTCACCCACTGTTCAAGTGAGGAAAAGCCACTGGACTGGGACCTAAGGGTGCACAACCTAACTGCTCCTGCTGCTGGATCTCTTGCTGGGTCTGTGGGCTTCTCAAACTCCAATTGGCAAGCAAAGCCAATTGCTTTGTTGTACTGTTCAAATACAATCACCCCTTCAAGAGGCCTGAGGCTCTAAAATTCTGCACTTCTGAAAAGCCTCTGGGTCCTGCCCATGCTATGGTGTGCAGATCACCCCCATGAACAAGGGTTTGGGCTACTGCTCAGTTACCAACTGTCACATCAGCATCTACACAGACTCTTGAAAAGGACCATAGACTGTCATGTGTCTATTTTTACCTGAGCATACACTTAACTAGAGGTCACCCATTCCACAGCTCCCCTAACCAAAATCCTATCAAGACCACAGGAAGAAATAGGTCTCTGAGCCATCTAACAGATGCCAAAAGTCCCCCAGTATTGTAATTAAAGATCACACTCTGCACTGGTTTCCTAGTGCACAGATTAGAAAAGGTGAAACAACCAAGTGGGGAGACTGATTAGGGTGATCATGGCAGAGCAGAGAAAAAGCATCATTTATGGCTATGGATAGGCACCAGAGAAGGAAACCAACATTCTGACAAGTGAGTAGAACTCAAAAACCAGAGCACGGTGGGATGGATTTATTTAGGGGTTATAGCTCAGCCCCACCCTACCCTTGAACAGCTCCTAAGGTTCTGTGTTGGGTCACAGAAACAAAACCAATTCACAATGACCAAGGTTAACAAGAGATGGTTAAATGACATTCACTAGACTGATGAAAGAATGTAGAGAGCCACCCGGTCCATCATGGTCTTTTGGAACTTCTTTCCTTAACCTTTAATAAACTTTTATAATCACCCTCAAAAAAAAAAAAAAAAAACAAAGAATGCGGCATGCAACCAGTTATTAACCATTCAAATTGCGTTCAGCAACCTCTACCTAAGAAAGTGGATGGTCTCCCTATGGCTACTGTAACAAATTGCCCACACTATGGTGTGCTGAATTGAGTAGCTGAAAATGATACATAGTTATAATCTCACAATCCTGGAGGTCAGAAGTCTCAAATGAGTCTTAGGGGGCTAAATCAAGGTATCATCAGGTCTGGCTTCTTCTGGAGGTTCTAGGAAAGAACCCACTTCTTGGCCTTTTGTACCTTCTACAGGCTGCCTGCATCCCTCTGCTCCTGGCCCCTTCCTCCATCTTCAAACCTAGTGGCGCAGCATTTAACACTGCTTCCATTGTCATATGGCCTTTTCTGGCTGACTCCTCCTGCCTCTCTCTTATACAGTCAGGGCAGTGACAATGGGCCCACCCCATTAATTTAGGGTTATCTCCCCATCTCAAGGTTCTTAATCACATCTGCAAATCCCCTTTATTATATAAGATGATATTGACAGGTCTCAGGGATTAGGACAGGGACATCCTCAGGGGACCAATATGTAGCTCCCACAAAGGCTGAGGGTATATACAATCTGTTTTATAAAGAAGTTGTCAGAGCCAGGCGCCAGTGGCTCACGCCTGCAATCCTGGCTACTCAGGAAACAGAGATCAGGAGGATCCTGGTTCAAAGCCAGCCTGGGTAAATAGTTCTCGAGACATGTCAGTTCCACTGACATGTTGCTGGGCCCAGCCTGCTTACATTTTAGGTCATTTCTCTAGGGTGTTTTAGGCTTATTTCTTATATTTTAATATGGGTTACTTTTTGTGTGATTTAAGATACTTTTTTGGATTCAATATTACGTTTTTGAATGTTAAACCAAAAGTTATAACTTCCTAGTTTTGGCGCCTGTTAGACTTTACCCTTTTTTATTTTTTTCTTAAAGAAATTCCACTGGCTGAGAGAGGGCTTTCCCTATTAGTGCACACCCTCCCCCGTGAGGTTGAGGGGACCAAAGGTGGCACCTGGTCAGGCTGGGGGGTGGGTGGAGCCCACAATACCAGAAGAGGAGACAGACCTTGCCTACCACCCATGCCTGCCCAGGTTTTGTATTTGTCTTTTGTACAGTTGTAGACATTTAGGAGCTGTCTTCGGGTACCTATTTTCATTGTAAGATGATCTGAGTATTAAAGTTTAGCTTTTCTAAAGAAAAAAAAAAAAAGAGACCCTATCTCAAAAAAACCCTTCACAAAAATAGGGCTGGTCACACTCACCCATGCCTGCCCCCCCCAGAAGTGCATGCAAAGTGGTAAGGAAGTAACTGTCTGCCTGCTGAAAGAGATACCGCTGATAGAGAAGAGTGTTTCTACAGAAATCCCAGTGGCTTCCTTGCCTCACCCTGGAAGCAGGACGCCCAACACTATTATGGTCGCGCTGGCAGAGTTCAGAACAGTGTGGGTCCCCGGTATGACGGGACCTCCTCACAACATGCTCCAAAAGAATCTGAGTGACCAGGCGCCAGTCTCCCAGTATGCAAGCATAGGCGTGGCCGAAGGCGTGGCGGGCTTAACAGAGCCGCGGGCGTCCTGACTCCGGCCCCCCTTAGCTGGAGGCCTGTATCTAATCGCATCCTCTCTTTGGGACTACGCGCCCTTCTGTGAAATGGGGATACCGGCGTCTTGGTGCCGGGAACACGGGGTGGGACCGAAAGGCAGAGGACCTCAGTCCTGAGCCAGGCCTCCCAGCCTCTGCTAAAGCGGATCACGCCAGGAAGGCCTGGTTTCTCCCCTCAGCCCTGCCGCGCGGGTTCCGCGAAGCGGGTCTCCGGGCCCGCCGGCACGGCGCAGTGATTCATTGTGCACCTCCGCGACCCCTGTCAGCGCGGGAACTGCCCTTTCCCTGGCAGCGGTTACCTGCCTCCATGATGAACCTTGTCACTCGGAAGTGGACCCTCGCCTCGGGCGCCGGCCGCCCCTCGGCCCCCAGCACCGCGGCCTCTTCTCCGCAAGTATCGGGGTGAACTGCCTCCATGAGGCCCCGCCCCGCGGCCCCACGACCCCGCACCAGAAGGAGAGGCGCCCCCGGCGCGCCGGCCTCGGGTGGGGGGAGGGGAATCCTCGTGGCGGACACGACCGCCCCGCCCCGGTCGGGCCGCCCCGCCCACCCAGGTGAGCGCGGATGCGCAGCGACAGGCGGCCCAGCTGAATGCGCAGGCGCAGGCGCAGAGGCTGACGGGACGCCCCGCAACAGGTCCCAGAGACTTACGCCCCGCCTCTGGGAGGCACTCCAACCCGGAACTTCACGGCCTCGTTCCCGGGAGCCAATGCCCCGCCCCTGGGAGAGGTAAGCTCCGCCCCTGAGAGTGGGCATCCGAGGGGCTGCTCCACTAGGGCGCAGCGAGGTCGCTGCTGAGGGTTGGGGCCACGAAGGCGCCTTGAGACACCAGAGCCTCAACTCCTCACGGTCCAACTAAGGTCTCGCCCCTAGCTGATAGCCCAGCGTAGCTTTGGACGGGGAGAGCTGGCAGTCAGCGTCTGTCAGACCCTGGGCGAGGGCGATTTATGGGCATTCTCTTTGAGGCGTCAGTATCTGAGCTGCCACTAATGGGAGATGTGTTTGTAAAGCCGAACTCCACATTTGGAGTTCAAACGTGCGCTCAGACCCAAGGAAAACGCTGTGCAAAATGTGCAAAAATTTTTAATGGAAGCCGTAAGGGTGTTTGTGTCTGGATTTAGCAGCTGCCCAGCATCTGTTGGTGTTCTTGCTCACCTTTCAAGCCTGGTACACAGTAGGAGCTAAATAAATGCTGTTGAATGAATGTTGAATATCAAACTCACATACTTACCATCCCATATTTCATTCCTCTCTTCCACAAGCAGGAAATTGGACATCGGGTATTAGGGAGCACCAAAGGAACTCCCAAGCTAGTGATGCTCACTCAAGTCATTCTAACACATTCTGATAATTGCCCTGATTGGAGACTGCTAAGCCCTTCCTACCTAGCTAACTTGATCTCATGATGATGCACAAATCTCCCCCTCCTCATCCTCCAACCTGCCCAGCCTCTCTCTCCTTCCTTAGCAACACTTGCCTCCACGGAGGTCCCTAAGTCCTCTCTCCATTACCAACTGGGTTAGTGTCTTGGGACTGCTGCAATAAATGTTCACAAATCAGTGGCAAAAACATAGCAATGTATCCTTTCACAATTCTGGTGGCCAGAGATCTGAAGTCAAGGTCAACAGGACTGTGCTTCATCCAGATGTTCTGGAAGTGCAGGATTTGTCCCTGCTTTTCCAACTTCTTGGGGCCTGAATTCTTCTGGGGCTGTAGAAGCATCGCTCCAATCTCCACCTCCATCATCACCTAGGCTTCTCCCCTATGTGTGGCAAAGAGGGTGGGGTGGAGCCATGAAGTCCCAATGAGTGTGCAGAAGGCCTGGGAGCCACAGGGAGGACCCATTGCTTGGGCTTGGTCTCAGGTGGGTTACTGAGGACACCAAGCTCAGGGCAGCCTGGGCTCTCAGTCACCACCTGCTCTTCCAAAGCCAACTCTTCTTGCCAACTTCCAAGGCCTTTCCTCTGCACCTCCCACTGAACGACCGCCTCACACACCCATGCCCAGCCCTGCCCTACCCTGCCCGTACCCAGGAAGCCTATGAGGATGGGGGCGGTTAATGGCACACAGAGCTGGCCCAGACCTGGGTCCAGCTGTAAGGTGACAGGGGCAGGAAGAGACAATGGAAGGGACAGGGCAAAGAGAGATGATATGCTGTCCCCAGGACTGCCATCACAAATCACCAAAAACCGGACTAAAACAACAGAAGTGTGCTGGGGGTGTGGCTCCTACCTACCAAATGGAAGGCTCTGAGTTCTCTGAGTTCCATTCCAGTACCACCAAAAAGAAAAAAATCCTAAAATAGAAGTAGATTCTCTCCCAATTTTTGAGGCCAGAAGTCTGGAGTTCAGGTGTTGGGGAGTGTGGTCCCTCCAAAGGCCCTACAACATGAACCTTCCTTGCCTATTCTACTTCTTGTGGCCCCAAAATTGTTTCTTGGTATTATGGTTTGAATGTGAAATGTGAGGGTTTGGTTGGCAGCTTTTGGGAAGTGATTGGGTCCTGAGGGCTCTGACCTAATGAATGGATTGAGCCCATCATAGACTCAATATATGGCACTATTGGGAGAAGGTGGGGCCTGGTTGGAGGAAGTAGGTCACTGGCGGGCAGTCCTAGGGTGCTCTATGTTGCCCTGGCCCCTTCCTGTGTTCCTTTTTCTCTGCTTTCCATCTGCCATGATGTGAGCTGCTTTGTCACACCTCCCCAAAACCTCTGAACTGTGAGTTAAATAAAGCTTTCCTCCTTTTAAGTTGTTTATATCAGACATTTTGTCACAGTGATGAAAAAGCTAACACACACTTGGTTTGTGGCCACATCAGTCCATTGTCTGCTTCTGTCTCCACACCACCTCCTTCCCTCTGCATCTCTGTCTTCTCTCTCTTCTGTCTGTTTTTCGTGCACTGTTCATTGGGTTAAGGGCCCAAGTAATTCAGGATGACCTCATCTCCACACCCCTACCTTCAGTACATCTGGAAACACCCCTTTGCCAAATTAAATCACATTCAAAGGGTGTGGGGATTAGGACATGGATACATTTGGGGGGACTGTCATTCAGCCCATGACACCAGCCACCAGAGTGGGCTTCCCGAAATTCAAGGGTGAACAAGCTCTGCCCTGCCTAACATCCTCTAGGCCCCTTTCCCTTCAGGAGAATGCCCAAGGCCTCGGCCTGATGTGCCAGTCCTTATAGAATCACCCTGTTGACCGGCCAGCCTCAGGTCTCCCCACTTTGCCTGTTGTGACAGGGACCTCAGGTATCTCCCCTAAGGTGATGGTCTCCCAGCTCAGCATCTTGGACTGGTCAAGGGATTTCTGCCCCATGTCCTTCTGCCCAGCTTGCTCTGGTCTTTGTGTGCACGTAGGTGCATTGGTAGAAGGGCTCAGGGCCTCTAGGCCTTGTGCTGTGCTGCTGATATTTGTCATGCCTTGAGCACTGTCTCAGCTATCTGTCCCTAGGCTGTGAGCAGCCCCACTCTTTCCCCTGACTGAGGCTGAAATTTGGTCAGTGCCCAGAGCTCCTGCCTCCCCTCAGCCCAGCCAGTCAAGGCCAGGTCCCAACGCTCCACTAGACAGTGCCCTGGGATAAGCCAACAACCGCTAGAAGTGGTAGGTTCAATCCACACTCCCTCAACAGTCTATAGCTCTTGGGGGAATCAAGCTGCTGCTTCTCACCATCTCTACCATACATCCATGTGCACTATACCCGCAAGCACACACATCAACACGCATTCCAAATCATATGGCATATTCCCCTGGCCCTCTGTGCTGGCCTGCCAGTTAAACAGAGCTGTGTGAACTCCTCCTTCTCCCCTGGGCCTTTTGTGGTGTGAAGTCTGGGCTCAGCAAGTAATAGGTGCCTGGGAATATGAGTCGAGGGAATGACTCAATGAACACATTAATTTTTAAAGCCCTGGGTCACAGGGCTCTCTCCTGGCAAGCAGCCTCAGCACAGTGGTTGATAACTGGATAATTCATTCACAAGCCACCTATTGGAGTCAGCAAACCTCTAGGCAGAGCCTTCTCTCCACCCCCACTGCAGGGGCCCTCACTTCCCTGCCACCTGTCACCACTGTCCCAAATGTGGCTTCCCCCTCTCATCCTCCTGGTCCCTCACCCTTTGCTCAGATATGAATTTCTTGAGGGCTGAGGCCTGGGTTTCTTCTCCAGGCCCAGCACAGAGAAGATGCTCAACGAAGGTGGGGTGGGCAACCCCAGTCAGAAGTGTGATTGTAGCGTATGTGCCAGTTATTCCTTATCTAATTCTCGCACGCGTTCTCTTCACTGATTAAGCCACTGCTGCCCCCTCACAATGGTGCTGTTATCAAATGAGTGACTCATTTCAAGGAATCAGACTCTGAGGCTGAAGTGCAAAGGATGAGGCAGAGAAAGGAAACGAAGCATTTGGGTGCACAGGCAAGGCTATGCACAGACAGGATCATGGGAAAATCCATGTGCTCTTGAAAACACCTCACCTCCTTTTCCAGCAGTCTTTCCTCATCACAGTCCAGTGCTGCCACTTACCCTTGGAACCTCTTCTCTACCTCACAGCCTCTCTTCCCCTGCTTGACTCAGTGTCATGCCTTCTTCCTACCTTTCCCTTCTCCAGAGCCTTCTGGTCAAGCCTGACTGCCTCCTCTATCTCCCTCCCTTCTCAACTCCCCATCTCTGTAGCCACCATGGCCCTAAACTCTATAGCCCCTGCCCATCCCCATCTGGCCCTCACCTGCCCTGCAAGACACCACTTCCTCCACACAGTAAGGGCCTGCCCCACCCCAACTGCCTCTTCCCCCGAGCCCTCATTGCAGTTGGGCAGCTGGAGTGAAGAGTCTGATTCGCTCTAAGGTTGGATGCCTGACTGCTATCATCTTTTAAGCCTCATCCTCCCTTCCTCTTCTGCCCCACATCTGAGCAAGCTGAGAAGAAAGCCTTAGCCCTCACCCAGGAAAGTACCAACCATGCATGGCAGCCCTCAACCTGACCCCATCCCTGACTCTGGGAAGACCCATGCTACTCTCCCTTCCTTGCCTTTTCATTTTGGCAGGGAGGGGGCGGGGGGGGAGGGGCAGAACTGAACTCTGGGCCTTATGCTCTGCCACTTGAGCTCCAGCCCTCCCTTCCTTGCCCTCTCAAGCCATTTGCAGACTAGCCTGAGAGGCTACCCTCCTCCCCTCAGAAAGCCTCATTTAGTGAGCGATGAAACTCTATAGCCTCTGACAGGGTGGGAAGTGATACCCTCTTGTCTCCATAACCAAGTCAAATTTCAGACAGGGTCCACCCTGTTCCCGTAGAGGAACAACCCACTCCATCATGCCCCAATACTTTCCCTTCATGGATTCCAGGGTCTTGCTCTCCTGGATCCCTTCCTAACCCACTGGTCACTCTTTCTCAGTCCCTGCCCACTGGAGGGAGCATGCCTCACCTCATGTATTCAGGGACTGCGAAGCCCATGCACATGCATGAGCCCTAACCTTACCCAACCTGCAGGCAAGACCTGACACCTGCACATCCCTACA